TTCATAGTAGCTAAATCTTGGAAGCATATGTATATCCACAGACAAATGGGTAAAGAAAATGTGGTATTTATATAAAATGGAGTACTATTCTGCCATTAAGAAGGATAAACGAGTCATCTGTAGGAAAATGGATGCACTTTAAGACTGTAACGTTAAGTGAAGTAAACAAGACATACAGGCTTAAATAACACGATTTCATATATAGGAAGCCCAATATAAAAATAAAGTACAAAATAAAAGACAGACAATAGAGGGGGGGGATGTTATTGTAACTCAGAACGGACAATATATCTATACCTTGATTTCGTATAATTGTTTTATGTGCTTTTTATGTTTTTTTACCCTTTAGTCTGGCTGTTAATCTGTATTTCTGATAATTAACCTGATAAGGACTTATAAAATAAATAAAAAGAACCTGATGCTGGCAAAAAAAATTTTTAAAGGGAGGATTAGCAGAAGGGGAAAAAAAGAATTGAGATATATTATGTACATGTACCCCACAATGAATGTAATCATTATGTATTGTAAACAAGTACTAATAAAAATAAAAATAAAAAATTTTAGGGCCAGGGATTTAGCTCAGTGGTTCTGCCACCTGCCTCACAAGTGGAAGAACCTGAGTTTGATCCCTGGTACCAAAAAAAAAAAATTTTTTTGAAAGCCTGCTTCACAAGGACAGGGCCAAGACCCATCCTATCCAACTTCTTTGGCAGCTGGGCTCTATAAAGCACCAAAAATTGTCCTGAAAACTGGATAGTTTCTGGACTGGAAGAATCTGTACTGTGTTGGCATCCATGCAGTAGTTAGCAGAGCCTCTATCCACTCAGCCAGATTTATACTATAGCCTGCTATACCTACACACAGGTGGAAGCAGAGGCAAATATCTGTCACCCTCTGTCCCCACTCCAACCTTTTTTTTTTTTTTTGGTACCGGGATTCGAACTTGAGTCCTTGCGCTTGCACAGCAGGCGGCGAAACCACTGCAAATCCCCGGCCCTCCAACCTTTTTTTGTTGTTGTTAGGATTACTTGGGGATCAAACTCTGGGCCTCTCGTATGTTACACAAGTGCTGTAGCACTGAGCCACACTCCCAGCCTTTAGTCTCCCATTCTTCCTCCCCCTCCTCTTCTTCGTCCTTCTCTTCTTTCTCCTCTTTTTCCTCCTCCTCTTCCTCCTTCTCCTTTTTTCCAGTACTGGGGACTGGATCCAGGGCCTTCACACTGAGCTACATTCTCAGCCTTTTTTTATTTTTTAAATTTTGAGATCCTGCTCGCTTGCTAATTTGCCCAGGTTGAGCTTGAACTTGTGATTCTCCTGCCTTAGCTTCTCAGAGTGCTGGGATTATAGGTGTGCATCATCACACTGACCTCTATATTCCTTCAGCCTTAACTCATGACAAGAGCAGCACTTTTTCTCCCAGGGCGAGTCATCAGACTCACTGGGGAGCTGTTCAGTTTTTAAAAGGATTGTGGTCCCTTAGTCTCTTCAGGGATTAGTTCCAGGACATCCCTTGAATACCCAAATCCATGAATACTTAAATCTCTTATACAAATTGGCATAGTAGGGCTGGGGATTTAGCTCAGTGGTGCTGTGCCTGCCTGGCAAGCACAAGGTCCTGAATTCAATTCCTGGTACCAAAACAAAAACAAAAATTGGCATAGTATTTTCATATAACCTACACATATTCTCCTGTAAACACTGAATCATTTCTAGACTTAAAATTAGATATTACTTATATGACTTAATACAATGTAAAAGCTATATAAATACTCGTGTTGTATTGTTTAGGGAATAATGACAAGAAGAAATCTATGCATGTTCGGTAAAGATGCAATTTTTTCTAAATATTTTCAGTCTGAGGTTGAAAGTTGTAAGTCCCTGGATATGGAACCCTCGATTACACAGGACTTGACTGTATATTCAATGTGTAAATAAAAATTTTTTCCCAAAGTGGTTTAAAAAAGGCTGACATAATGCATAATCCTCAGATAGGCTATAATAAAGAAGACAGAAAACAAGGTATGTCAGTGAGGGTGTGAAGCAACTAAAGCTCCTGTGCGTGGATGAGAGAGAATGCTGGAGAACTAAGCTAGGGCCTGGGCATTCACCACCAACCAGCACCTTTGCTCTCAGGCATTAGACTGAAACATATGAAACTGTTAATAGTTGGCCATTTTGATCAATGAAGACAGCAGGTTTACATATTCACCTTAATACAGAGCCAATAAAAATGAACACATATGCTTGTCAAAAGTCATACTAGAGGCTCAGGGGAGCATTTTTTAAAAATAGTGACTCTAAACTGCAACCACCATGTGCCCCTCCACAGTGAGAGGAGTCAACTAACTATAGGAATTCAGCCTGGCAGCACTGTGAAGGGAAGACATTCAGTCATGTGACACCCACATGTAGCTGAGTAGACCACAGCTATGGCCACAGAGTACTTCTATGGAAGCCCACGTAGGGACAGGGCAGGAACAGGGAAATGTTTGTGTGTGGGATGCCAGGCTAGAGGTCATACTGGGGGTAGGTACTTTTGGGCCCCTGGCACATTCTACTTTGCAAAGTAGAGGCTGGTGACAGGGGTGGATTCAGTTTTGAAATTAAGTTGTACATATTTTCAAGTGTAATTTCTTGTATAGATAATTCAATAAAAAGAAAAGGCTGAGGACCTGATTATTCCTTGGTCTACCAATTATAGAAGCCACACAGTCCAGCAGCTCTGAGCACTGTTTTTTTCTTCTCTATGCCAGCTGGCCATGACAAATGTGAAGGCCCCTCGGAAACATGGCAGGGGAGGAGGACCACTCCTAGCTGCCCCGCCTGGATGACCCTACCTCAAGCCTCTCGCTTTTCTGGCCTACAGTTGCATTCAGTGTGTTCACGCTGAACAGAACCCTACAAAAGGCCAGTGCACACAGCTGCTGCTAAGCCAGGCAGGGGAAGGTCTGGGGGCCATTGTGACCCACGGTGGAGCACCAGGTGCAGCGCTAAGAGCAGGAAGGCAGAACAGGCCCCCATTAAGAAAGCAGATGCCCAGAGGAGTTCCACATAGGATGAAGTTAGAAGCAGTGCTGGAGAGAACCTGAGAATAGATGGAATGAGGGGATATAGGGATCTCAACAGAAAACTTCAAGGGCAGGGCATGGCTTATGCATGTAGGGGTACGCGCGTGCGTGTGTGTGTGTGTGTGTGTGTGTGTGTGTGTGTGTGTGTGTATGGCAGAGCTCTGGGCCTGAGCCAAAGGCTCTGTCTGCTCTCAGCAGATCGTACCCCTTAAGTTGGCCATTCTGGTCATGTGGTGAATCTACCCCAGAAAGCCTAGCCAGGCTTGGGTAAGGGCCCAGGAAGCCCTTATCCAAGAAGTCTCCTTCCAGGTCTACAGCCTCTATGGGCCTTGCAGAGAACGGACTCTGTAAGGAGTTCAGATAGGGATGCCTCATCTTTTGTTGAGAAAAAGCCACTATTTCTTTTCCTGGCAGTAATTCCTGGCAGCGAGGCAGGGAAATGGAGTCCAAAAGAAGCTGGGTGGGGGTAGAAGGGGAGGTAAGAAAGACTAGGGGAAGTGGGATGCATCTACAGGAGATGTGTATGTAAGAAAGACAGATGAAGGGAGGGAGAGGAGAAAAGGAGAGAGGGAAGGAGAGGAAAAGGGAGAGAAAGGGAGCAGAGGGAGAAAGACGAAAATTCAAGAAGTGGGCAGAATAAGAAGAGATCAGCTTAGGAGAAGCATGGAAGGGGACTCTGTTGTCACCCATACTTTTCCTCAGAGCCACAGTAAACTACATTTATCCACTTGCTAAAAAAATACTTATACACACACACTTTCCACACAAACTGTTCTAGATTCTGATCACTGATCACTGCTTCCCTGGGCTCTTAGGAACAGAGAATGAGGCAGACAATAGAAATGTTAGCAAAGCCATGCTGAAGACCATAAAAGAAGGTGAAGTCAGAGACAGAACAAAAGAGAATGTGTGTGCATCATTTAAGCTGGGTGGCCCAGGACCTCTGAGGTATACCTGAAATCATAGAGGAACTGACTACTCTAAGAGCTGGTGAGGACTCTTCAGGCATAGGCAATGGCTCCTTAGCTGACACCTCTTTGCCCCCTCAAGCCTCATGCCCAACACCCCCAAGAGCCCCTGTGCGCACTCTGTGACCACCCTGCTTCTGTCATCGGGTGACTCCCTTCTAAATAGAATGTGACAAAAAAGATAGCATGTGACTTCTGAGACGAGGTCATTCCAAGACCTAGTCCTGACATCCACATGGTCTCCTGCCAATAATCAGCCGAGAACTGAGGCTTCCCACTAACAACCACATGGGGCATGATCTTGAAAGCCCCAGTAAAGCCTTCAAATAATGCAGCCTCCGAGAGATCCCAAGTTCATATTGCCTAGCTATGCTGCTCCTGAATGCAGGCCCACAGAAACCATAAGATAATAAACATCTATTGTTTCAGGCTGCCAGGTTCAGTGGTTATTTTTTACAGAGCCATTAATAATGAAGACACCCCAAACGTGAAATATTTTTTTGATGATTCTGGGCTTTGCATATGGTCTTCTTTGTCTGCAATGCCCCTCATTCTCTGACCTTTCCACCAAGCTCCTCCTCATTCTTTGGGGTCCAAGAGAAATATCACTTTCTCAATGAAACATTTCTTAATATATCCCCACTTCTCTACCTGCCCCAGGGCTGGCCCTTGCCCTGTGACTTCACCAACCCTGAATACTGCTCTCATGTGGTCCTTCCTACTCCACAATGTCTCAGAGGCCTTTGTGGGCCAGACACCCAGAAGGCTTCTTGAAGGTTCTGTCAACTGGTTAGGGAGCTACTGCTTAGGGTTTCATTCCAGTGGGATGAGTATAAAGAAAGTATTTAAACAAATATTTAAACCCAGAAGCCTCCATATTTTCCTCCAAATGGTAGGAGAGAACAAGGACTCATCAGAGCCCCCATCTTACTCTATTCCAACCAATTGAGTGCAAGAAGCCTACCTGGATCAGAGCAAGCACTTTATCCTGCACAATGGTGGGAGGGTTGTTCTTGGGAGAGATGATTTTGACCAGAACGCTGTCAATGAAGTCTCGGTTGGCCACAAGGATGTGGAACCGGTGGCCACAGTTCTTCACACATGTTTCCAGTACCTGATGTGGGGAGAGGGGCAAGAAGTCACCACTGTGGGAAGGAGAGGAGACAGCAGGAACTGAGATGGCCCCTGAGTTTTCCCCTCACCCCACCCTGCTCTTGTTCCTAGATCATTCTCTGACACTCCAGAACCAAACCTCACCAGCATTCCCATACTCTAATTCAGCCTTTCCTCTGGGATGACAGCAGCTCCTTGCTGACTGAAAGCTCCTGTCCCTGCACAATAATCAGGCAATTAGTTGGTAATTGAAGCACTGGTTTTGCCTGAGAAGGATGCTGGTGTTTTAATGGGATCAAAATGACTGAGCAGTCCCTGAAAATTAGCATTTTAACTCCTCTCTCTGGGCCTCTGGGTATGAGGCATTAGCCAATGGGACACAGGCTCTGTCATAGGAGGAGGGTGCTGTGACAGGCTGAATTGCTTAGTGAGTTACTGGCCCTTGTGCATGAGGAAGGAAATACACACAGAAACACACACACCCCCGACATCCTTGCTTCTGCAAATAAAACTGGCAATGACAATGGATCTTCCACCCTTGACAAATGGTTTGTGGACCTCAGCTGCTACCTGGCTTTAAGATCCATGTTTGGATCAGACCCTCCCCTCCCTTGTCAGGGAAGTACACAGGCCTCAGCTGCTCAGAAAAGCTGACATAGGGGTTCTTATCAGGTAGCCAGTGTGAAATTTCCTCCCTGAATGGCCCAGTACAAGTCCCTCTGGGTCTCTATTTCCTCTTCTGGAACATAGGAACAATGAGTCTTCCCTTACTGGGTTATTGGGAAGATGAGAGGGAATATATATAAAGAAACTAGCAGTGCCCTGCACAGAATAGGTGTCCAATAAACGATAAGTATGATTATAAGATTATAATTCAGAAACCTACTATATGCACTTGAGTAAAGGAACAGCTTCTTATTCTCCCTTGGGACAGGTAAGAGGCCCCATGGTATTCAGAGGTCCAAGTGAGAGGGCCTCTCCAATCTTCCACAGAGTTCTCTGAGCCTCTTAGCTCTCTGGAACCAACCTCACCTGCCTCTTTCCAAACACCTCTCCCCACCATTGCCACAGCTGACTAGCTAAAGAATGTCTCCTTGGAAGTACATCCCCAGCAACAAAGGATATTTCTAACTGCCTTGGTTATTCTCATTTGCTCAAACTCATCTGACCACAGGTTAATTTATACCTCAGGGCTAGTTCAGACCATGGGGCTTTACCTTGACAAAGCATGCCCATGAAGAAAGGTCCAAAATTGTGACAGTGACTAAATGCTGGCTATGTGCCAGGTACTAGGAGCAATCCCTCTGAATCATATGTAATTTCATTCCAGTCTCACATATGATTAGTTCTCTTTAAGTAGATCTTATTACTCATTTTTAAAGTTAAGAAGCTTAGAAAGGGGAAGAGACTTGCTTAGGCACAAACTGTGGGATAATAGCAGAGGCAGGATAGAAACTCTAGTCAGCCTTCTCAGGATCCCTGGTCCCTCCACCTATTTGAGGGCACTGGGCCATTTCTTCCTCATCGTTTTTCTCAGCTGGTAGCCCCTTAGACAATAGGCATGATGTACTAGATTTCCTGTCCCCTTCTTTGTTCCTTAAAATAATCCTGTAAAGTACTATTCCATTTTAGAGATGAGGAAGCTAAGGCTTAAAGGTGCCATGATGCCAGGATCAGGATGTCCCACCCCTAGGAGCTCTGCACCAGCCAGAATCACTCCCTTTCCCATTGCTGCCTGAGCCTCAGGAAGTGCCACAGTCTACTCAGCTTGCCCAGGAGGACTCCAAGCTGAGCATTCTCAGGGCTTCTGAGACACTGTAGGTTTTACTCAGCCAAGGAGGTATTTCCATTTCTTAGCCTCTGCTTGTGACAAGCATTCATGTCCTCTCAGCGCCCTACAGGGGTTATTGAGAGGAAGCAGAGAGGCTCTTCCTGCCTTCAAGCAGCTTATAGGCCCTTTTCTCTGGGATTCTCTAAATCTGCCTCCTGACTCTGGCAGTATTGCTGGGCCAAGGCAAGTTGCAGGAAAGATACTTCTTTCATGAGGGGCAGGTAGGGAAGGGTAGGACAGAAGGCCAGAGGAGCAGGCTTGGGTGGAAAAACAGAAAGCAGAGGGGTAGGCCACAGGCTGGTGGCAGGGAAGTTAGAGCTCCCCTCCACTACCAGGCCTCCCTTCTTGCCTTTAGAGAGCATGTCCTTCAGTTCTAAACAGCAGATTCCAGGTCATCATGCCCCAGCTTGGCCTTGGAAATGACCTGGGCAGAACCGCATGAGCTGCAGAGCAGCCCAATGCCTATCCAAGCAGGAGACATGGGAGGTCCTTCCTGGGTTGGCAAGGGCCACTTTAGACCACCCTGCCTTTTAAAAAAGTTTCCTGGCAAATCTGACCATGTGGGGTTTAGGGCATGAAATACACAGTGGCAATTTTCTGAAAGGCAGCCAAAGCCGATGAAGTAAGTAGGGCCTCTAATCAGAAGCAGATGTTTCAAGCATAGACATGAAGGTCAAAATAGACAGTCTTTCAGGGTTTCTAACTCCTACTTTGGGTAAATATTAGCAACCTTGTGGGGACACAAATGAAACTAGGAAAGGGCCACAAGGAAGCAGAAGAACTGAGAGCAACCAATAGGTTAAGTAAAGCCATCAAAGCAGACACAAGACCATGCAAAGTGTACCAGGCAGGGTCTTAGGTACAGGGACAATAGCTCTGTGTTCCAAAGGCATCACTGGATTTGCCACAGACTGCGCTATCAGGAAAACTCAGATGATACGCATCATTCTCTGCTATAGTAAGGCAGGTAAGTGCAGATTTTCATTAAAGGCAGTTACCATGAAGCTGAGCACACATGGGGAGAAGTGTTAGACACCAGGAAAATGCCCTGACATATTACAACTCATTTCCCAGTGATGTGAGTTATTGAGAACAACTTGTTTTGGGTATTACAACTGGGTTTAATGAATATTGTGGCTCAAATTCTGATGAAAAAAATAAAAGCTTTCAACACTCTATTTTTCAACTAGCCTTTTCTCCTTTAATATTCAAATCCCGGGCTGGGGATTTAGCTCAGTGGTTCCGGTGCCTGCCTTGCAAGTGCAAGGTCCCAAGTTTGATCCCTGGGAATCAAAAAAAAAAAAATTTCAAACCCCAATTCCCTGGCAGACAGAACTCTCCTAATAGATTTTGAGTTTTAACTTGGGTAAAAATTCCAAACAGTTTCTCTGCTTTGAAGAGAAGCATGTTATGACTGTTTTGGATAAATAACCCCACTATTTGAAACCCACATAGAAGCTGACATGCTGACGTGTTACAATTTCTATTATAAGAATTCACTGTGGCCCAGATTTTGCCACATCTGAAAAACGGTTGGCTTTCAAGACAGAAATAGTACCTGAAGTCTCTCTTTTAATTCTCTGACATCTTAAGAAGGGCAAGATCTGGTCTGTTTGTCCTGAAAGGAGTCACTTGGCTAACTTTTTCAAGAGCCTTTGCAGCTATTTTCAGCTTTTACCCGAACAAAAGATCACTTTATGATGGCAACCCACAGCTCGGTACCTTACTAGCTCTGATGGCCACACAACCTCTACATCTCCCTAAGCCTCAGTCTCTTTATCCCTATGAGGGGATAATGAAGCCCATTTTGGAAAGTGATTATAACCATCAACATCTGAAAAGCTTGGCACAGTCTGGGGCAAGAACTAGATAGGTGGGACTGAATATTTTCTTAAGGACAGAACTGACACTAAGAGTCTCAAGGCAGGCTGGCAGCAGAAAGGGGCCCCACCCCAGCCTCTGGCTCCTCTACTCTGGGCAGTGCCACCCATGTGCTAGTATGTGTACATTTACCAAACTGAAGTTTACCCCCTGCATCAGAGGAAGGCAGGAAAATCTAAGGTTGTGTGACCAGAAGGTTCTGCACAACTCTAGTGGCACTGGCCCAGAGCCATTTTCAGGGTGTATTTGGGTAGAGGGAAGGCCGAGAGTGGCACTAGGCCATGAGAATGAGGCTCTCCTGTCTCCCACCATAGGAGAGCAGCACTCACCGTCAGTGCCAGCATTACTTCCCTGTAGTTCCGGTTCCCACTGAGCCGCTTCTTCAGGGCTCGAATGGCATCCTTTGGCCTGGAGAAAGACAGACATATTAAAATCCTCATAAGTCCCACTTTGAGGCTCTAACCCACTAATCTACTACCATTTGTGTCAACTAGTATACATACAAGGTCATTCATTGTACCATGTTTATAAATGTAAAAAAAGACAGGAAAACAAACTGAATGTCCACCAAAATTAAACAGGTTCAACTATATCATGGCTCACCTACCCAATGGAATATTATGCAGCTACAGAAGAGGATTATACATTGTTATGGTCCAAACTCAAAAGATGTGTGCATAAAGTCATTTGCCGAAGCATGAACAAGAGGTATTATTTGTATGTCAAAAGGACAGCAAACACTTTACACCGCATGTGCCCATGGCAGGAAGAGAATCTCTAGAGGGAGCCATAAGAACGTGGTAACAAAAGCTGCCCTTCAGGAAGGAAACCAAGCGGTAGAGGGGGAGAGAGGTTTTTCACTGGATTGCTCCTTTGCAGACCTTTTGAATTTTGTATCACATGCCAGTGTTATTTACTCAAAATCATAACTAACTCACTAGTGCAGTGCTGGCGAACCTATGGCATGTGTGTTATTTGTTTTCTTTTAAGACCAAAGATACTAACGTATGAGCTGTTGTTCCTAAACTAAAACCTCAATATTCAGGTTTAATTGCAGTGTTACCACTTTGTGATAAATAAGTGGGCTTTGGGTTGCAGTTTGGGCACCCTAAAAGGTTCTCTAAAAGGTTTGCCATCATCACACTAGTGTATGGGAGTATGGAAGAGAGTTCTTCTAGAGAAACCACAAGAGAAATGTAGAAGAGAGAATGGCCAGATATATACTGAGGCCTGGATGTTCAGCTCTTGCTGGATTCCATGGAACTCCTTAGAGCTCCAGAGAAATCTTAGTGAGTCTCCTCAAAACCCAAGGGACTGTGTTAAGTAATATATCTGATGTGGATTCCCATGAAAAATCTTGCAGAATTATAGCAGTCCCTAGTTTACAAACAGGCCCTGTTCAAGAACTTGTTCCTTAGCTGAACGTCTGGACTTGAAATGAGTTCTTCCTAAAATTACTGTTATATCTAGACAGGATCCTGAGCCAGCCCTCTTAAGCACAACTATTACATGGAGCTTTTATGTCTAACAGGTTTTAAAATTTATTCTACTAAGAATTCAATAAAGTTGTGGGACTAAGAGCTGCCCCTTGGAGCCCTGTTCCCTGATGCCCCATCTCAGTGTGCCCCAGCAGAATTCCCGCCTTGCTGCAGGCCAGCCCCTTGCTGTCTCAAGTGGGTTCCAGCTTTTCACTGAGGATGTGCCACTGTATCTCAGTCTTTCCTAGGTTGAATGAAGTCTGGGACTTCCCATTCCTGAAGTCCTAAATGTTTTTACTGTATTTATCAAATGAAAAATTCCTTTCAGATGTGTGTGAGGAAGTCAGGGGAAGGAAAGCCTAATTTAGAAAGACACAGTAAGTTGAAAGGTAAGCAAGGCTTCTGAAAGAAATTTTTAAAATACCCCAAACTCCCTATTTCCCATTCCCAACTTGAAATATAACTACCCTACGGGAATTCTTGGCTTCTGTGTCAAAGGACTGAGAGATTAGGGATGTGCCTTACTGCAGCTTCCAAACAGGGATACTGATTTCTGCAAATATGGGACCTGAGTGGCTCTCTTCTTTGATGGGCTGAGTTGGTGAAAGTCAGCAGCTACTTGCCAAGAGCATGAACTGATTTTTTCTCTCAAGGGATCTAACAGCACAGTCATCCCAGACCTGCAGCTGCTGGCCCTCTCAGTACAGCCTCTTTCCTCTCCTCCTGGCTATTCATAGAAGAAGAAAATGGGCACAGCCTCCAAGGTCATAGGCACTCATGCTAGCAGGGCCCAGTGTTCCCAGTTCTTCGGAGTGTGGGGCAACCAGAGAGTCCACAGGCTCTTAGTTACATTTAAACTGAAAACTCATCCCCATGCTGCAGGAACACAATAGCATGTATTTATTTCTGTCCCCAAGGGAGAAGCTTCAGAGAGGAGCACAGAGTGAGGTCAGAGGAACTGTAAAGTTTCAAGGAGCTGCCGTGGATTAGGCAGTTGGAGTTGGAACCCAGACAGGGCAGAGGTGTTGAGTGAGGGCCAAGATTGAATAGGCAAGAAGGATTGTGAGGACATGGTGACATGTGTGAGACACCAAACTCTGGCAGCTCTCAGTGGAAAGGCAGGCCAGGAGCAGTCTCCAGGGCTTCATGCTCCTGCCTCTACAGCCTCTTCCAACCTCCTCCCAACCCAGACTGCAGAGAGCCCCTCTTTCCAGTCATAGCAAGTTCTCCACTGGTTTCCATGGTCTTGGAACCTCTTTGTTTTTCAGTTGCTTTTCTGAGCAGCTTTCTTATCCCCACCCCTCTCACACAGGACACAGCTGCCCCTCCTCCACAAACCTTAACAACGATCTTGCTCTAATGAATTTACCAGTTCCCCCTCCAGTTCAGAGGCTGCAGCACACACAAAGATTCAATGAACTGGGGAACATCAGAGTTATGAAAATGGTCCAGGTCAGCAGATCCTCATCAGAGATGCAGACCAGAATCACCTGAGAAGCAAATCTCAAATCCACATGTGTATGCCCTAATTAGGTAGGACTGGAGTGAGGCCTGGTAAACAGAGTCTCAAACACTCCAGCCAGACACTCATGACTACTGAGTGTGGGACTGTCACACAGTCCTTGATGTCAGCCCTTCTCATGCAGGAAGTGACCCCAGACCTGGACACTGCGGAAAGCCCAAGGAGACGGCTGTGAATGGTTCACCAATCTGTGCCCACAGCCTCCCAAAGATAAATACAAGAAGTGCAGGCAGAGCTTTGGTGGCTGGAGCCAGATAAGTCTGGACTTGAACCCTACTATTCTCTTCCTACTATGCTGTGAAGTCTTTGGCAAACGACAACCATTTTGGGCCTCAGTTCCTTTACCACTAAAACAGGCTGCCCCTACCTTATATGTCTTTTGGGTGTGTGTGTGTGTGTGTGTGTGTGTGTGTGAAGATCCACTCTAGGGCTGGGCACGAGGCTTGGCATAGGCCAAGTGCTCAGAGAATGGCAGACAGGGTCAGGACATGAAGCCACAGAGATCATTTCCTAGGACTGGCCAGGTAACTGACACCACAGACCAAAGTGATGATGACAATAATGGGCAATGGAAGTCATTAACAAATTCCTGCCAGCTTGAACCACTGATGGTATATCCCTGACAGTCCATCATGGGGTGGCTTGTACCACCAGTAGTTCAGGGCTGTCTAGGAGCAAGAGATACAAATTATAGCCTTGTCATGAACATGTTAAAGGATAAACAGAAAATCCATATATGTAGCATAGTTCAGATGATGAATGTTCCCCAAAGGCCCACGTTTTAAAGGCTTGGTCCCCAGCCTGTGGTAGTACTGGGAGGTAAAAACCCTTTAGGAGGTGGTTCCTAGTGAAAGGAAGTTGGGTCATTGAGGGTGTACTCTTGAAGGAGATATAGGGACCTCAGCCCCTTTCTGTCTTTCTTTGCTACCAAACCTCCATGAACTGAATAGCTTACTCTGGCACAGTTTCTCCTGCTATGATGTGGTGCCTCACTATAGCCCCCAAATCAATGGGTCAATCAACCATGCACTGAAACCTATAAAACTGTAAGCCAAAATAACCCTTTCCTCTTTCTAAACTGATTATCTCAGGTATTGGTCATAGCAATCGAAAGCTAATACACATGGATGTGGAATATATTTATGTACGACTTTACTCTTTTAATCCTTACAATAACCCTATGAGAGAGCTATGATTGGTAGCTCCATTTTCTAAATAAGGTTAAGTAGCCAGGCATGGTGGCATATGCCTGTAATCCCAGTACTCAGGAGGCTGATGTTGGAGGATTGGCACGAGTTCGAGGCCAGCCTGGGCTACATAGTGAGGCCCTGTCTCAGAAAGAAAGAGGCCGGACTAAACTAAAATCGAAATGGATTAAAGATCTAAATATTAAAATTGAAACGCTGTGGCCAGGGATTTAGCTCAGTGGTTCCACCTCCTGCCTCGAAAGTGCAAGGACCAGAGTTCAATCCCCAGTACCAAAAAAATAAAATAAAATAAAAATAAATAAATAAAATAAAATAAAATAGAAATGCTGAATCAGCTGGAACAGAGGTTAGGTAGAACTCTTGAAGACATTGGCATAGGAAAAGATTTTATGAACAAAACCTCAGTTGCCCATGAACTAGCACAAACAATCAACAAGTGGGATCTCTTTTTATTAAAAAGCTTCTGCACAACAAGAGAAACCACCAGCAGTGTGAAGAGACAACCCACAATGTGGGAAAAAACCTTCACCTGCTCTTCCTCAGACAAAGGTCTACTATCTAGAATCTATAAAGAACTTAAAAAAATCAGACCTCTCAAACCCAGTCCAAAAATGGGCATCTGAAATGAACAAACATTTCTCAGACAAAGAAGTAGAAATGGCAAATAAACATATGAAAAAATGTTCAACATCACTGGTCATTCGAGACATCCAAATGAAAACAACGCTGAGATTCCACCTCACTCCAGAAAGAATGGCTGCTATCATGAAATCAGCCAATAACAAATCCTGGTGGGGCTGTGGGGAAAGAGGAACCCTGCTGCACTGCTGGTGGGAGTGTAGACTGGTGCAACCACTGTGGAAATCAGTATGGAGATATCTCAAAGAACTAGGATTGGAAGTCCCATTTGACCCAGCTAGTCCCTTGCTGGGTATCTTCCCCAAAGAATTAAAAGAATCATACCACAGTGATATATGTACACCCATGTTCATAGCAGCACAATTTCTAATAGATAAAACCTGGAAACAGCCCAAGTGCCCATCAACTGGAGACTGGATAAAGAAAATGTGGGGTTTTTAAAATAAAATGGAGTACTACTCAGCCATAAAAAATGAGAAATTAGAAACATTTATAGCTAAATGGATGCACATTGAGGTGATACTCTTAAGTGAAATAAATAGGACACACGTGTAAATACCAAATAGTTTCTCCAGTGTGAGAAACTGAAAGTGTAAATAAGGACTAAAAGGTATAACAGATAATGTGAAACAGGAAGAAAAGGGGCAAAGGGGAAGGGGAAGTGGGAGGGGTAGGAGAAGGGAAAGAAGGGAATGGAATTAATAGGAGAAAATGAAAAAATGGAAACAAAGTCTTTGTAAATAGGGAGGGATGGAGGGGTTGAATGGAGGGCAGGGGAAGGGGGAAAAATAAGAACCAAGAGAGATTATGTAAAGGTGCAAATTTCCAATGATAAATGTCATTATATTGTATACTTAAAATGTACCAGTAAAATAAAATTTTAAAAAGAAAAAGGCTGGGTATGGTGGTACAGGCCTGTAATCCCAGTACTCAGGAGGCTAAGTAAGGCAGGAGGGTTGTCACAAGTTCAGGCCAGCCTGGGATACACAGTGAGTTCAAGGGCAGCTTGAACTACACAGCAAGACCTTGCTTGTTTCAAAAAGAAACTGAGACACAGGGAGATGACATAATATACACACAGCTGTAGGACAGTAAGCAGTAATCTAGGCTTCCAACTAGGTAGATGGCTCAGGCTCTGCACATCTAATTATGTATGCTTCCAATGCACATGTTGCACACACCGCTCTTCAGCTCTAGGTTCCCCTGTCATTTATCTACTTCCCTGACTGACACTGTGGTGTCCTGCATCTTAGAAGACTCCACTGAGTGTCACCTCCTCCAAGAAGGCTTTGCTGGGCTGGGGATTTAGCCCAGTGGCACCATGCCTGCCTCACAAGTGCAAGGTTCTGAGTTCGATCCCTGGTACCAAAAAAAAAAAAAAAAGAAGAAGGCTATGCAGCTGGTAGCCCCACTGGACACTGGGCTAGGCTGTCTCTGTAGCTATATAAAGCTTCTTGCTCTCTCTCCCCTTGTCATGCAGTGTTATGATTATGTTTACATGCCTGCATTCCTCATCAGACTGTAAGGGCCTTGAGGACTTCATTTATTCACTTACTTAACAAATATTTATCAAGAACCAATTATGTGCACACTGTGCTTGGTGCTGGGGGTAAAATGGTGAGCAAAACAGATGGAATACCTGCCCTCATGGAGCTCACAGACTAGAGGGTTGCAGGGTAACACAGACACTAACAGACATCACACAGCCGCAGTGTGATACGGTGTACTGTGAAATCATATAACAGAAGACCTATGCAAATTGGAAGGGAAGTGATCAAGAAAATGAGATTTAAATCAAGATCTAGTGAATGATGGGAACAACTTAGAGAAAGAGATTGGCCAGGGAAAATGGAACAGCAGTCAGAAACTCTCCAGCAAAAGGCTGGGAAGGACTGGATAGGGTACCCTACCAGCAACCCAACTTGTGGATTTTTCCTCCAGTTTGGGAAGAAATTTAAACAGTCACCTCACAGTAGAAACACACACACATCAATTCCTCAAAATCACAGTGGTGCTATCACTCAAACACACATGAATAGCAGGGGAAGGTGTGACCAGGTCTTCTTTCAGGTGGTGACTGAGAAAGCAGCTCACCAGCCCTGGTGGACTTTGGAAGGGGCTTAACCCCTTTGGAAGAAGATGATCCCAGGGTTTCTGGACCTCCTGCCCTCAAGTCACATAGGTATCTGAGCAATGTGACTGTGTGTTTCCCAGTTTGTGGACCTTTTTCATGCCACCCTGAGCTATCAGACACACTCCTCTTCCTGCCAGCCTCCAAGCCCCAGCCTGAAACCAGCCCCTCCAGGAGACAGCTGCACCTGCCTTGCCCTCTGTACCCACGGCATTGGGCACAGGCCTCAGTGACAGGCCTGGCCAGTATTCCCAGCTCAGTCTCCATGGGGGACTGGCATATTCACCTTGGCATCCTGGGAGGCTATCCCTCCCCCTGCAGAGGCCAAAGGCCACTGGATATCTGAATAAACAAGCAAATGAATGGCATCTGAGGAGGACACAAGGAAGAACGGGACCCAGGTGAGTGTAAAGGGACGTGGCCAAGCTAACCCCAGCATTTACAGTATAGGGTCAGTGAAGGCCACTCCCTCAACTCCAGAGCTACCTGTGCTGTTACCAGGCAGTATTTCTCTGGGACTGAGCCAGAAGCTCAGATCTAGTCCTGGTCCCTGACCCCAGCCTGCTCCACCTCAGGAGGCAGCAGCTCCATCAGTGGCTCTGCAGGCCCCAAACTTTGGAGTTATCCCGGCTCTGCTCATATCCCACATCAGCAAATTCCTTAGTTTCCACCTTCTGAAGCTAGCCAGCATATAATGACTTCTCTCTCCCTCCTTCCCGTACCACCATCTTGGGCAAGCCACCCATAATCTTATACCAGGAGTTGATGTAATAATGCACTGGTTTGGGTGCTCTCTGGCCAGCCACCAGTCAGGCCATTCTGAACACAGTGGACAGTGATCACTTAATGTCAGAGCATGCCATTTTCTTGTGCTGGTCCTCTGTACCTTCCCCTCTCACCTGAAGTTGAAGCCACAGTTACTCAGTGCCTACGTGGCCCTGCATTTCCAGACCCCCACCACATCTCTGACCTCATATCCATGTACCCTCTTCCCTGGTCACTCCATTCTGGGCCCACTGGCACCAAACATACCAATACCAGTACCCTCTGCCCCAGGACTTCCCAGCTTGCTGTTCCTTCCACCTGGACAATTATTCTTTGGAATAATCCTCACTCTTCACTTCCTCCTCTCCAAGTCTTTGATCAATGTTACCTTCTCTGAGAGACTTTCCTTTACTATTCTGTTTAAAATTGCTAATTCCCGGGGCTGGGGATTTAGCTCAGTGGTTCCCACGCCTGCCTCGCAAGTGCAAAGACCCGAGTTCGATCCCCAGTACCAAAAAATAAATAAAAAAATAAAAATAAAATTGCTAATTCCCAACCTTCTGTCTCTCTGCTCCCTCCATAGTTTGTCCCCATCTGACCAACTTATGTGTTTTAATTATCTCATCCACAGCCTGCCTCCCTACTCTGGACTGGCATCTCCCAGAGGGAAGGGCATCTGTCTCGCTCCATACATACAACAGGGCCTGGCACAAGGCAGTCATTTCATATGCAGCAAGGCTAGTGAGTGACAGTGTCTGGGCCTCAGCTGTGTTCTTCAACTTGGGTTGAAGAGAGCACAGTGACAGTAAACACAGTGTTTATGGTGTGAACAGGGTGCTCAATACAGACCAGTTAGAAAGATGTATGAATACAGTAAAGCTATAATATAGAAGAGAACATAGTAAATGATGCCCATAATAACAGATCAGTGGGGCAGAATGCAAGGGGGGTAAGCTAACAAACCCAGCTGCTCTGAGCCATGTGCGCCTTTCTCACCCCCTGCCTTGTGTGACCTGGTTCTCCCTCCATGTGCACTGTAGTACCCCTGCTCCTGGGCTCTTGTCCAGAAAACCAGGGCAAAGACAGCCCCTTGTCTACTAAGGGGAGACAGGGACCAGGGAGGAGTGGTGGGAAGAGGTAACAATTTGGCTGTTGAAATGAATGGCCACTGTGGGCCAGGTAACCAAATAGCCTCCACCTGTTATTCAAAGCATATGGTTAAAAGAGGTTGTCACTGCTTTAACTCAAGACTGCTATTGCAGGAGAGGAGGAGAGATGGACAAGAAGAAGACAAATCATTAACAGTTTGTTAAATGTCAGAATGGACAAACTAAAAAGAAAACAAAGTCAAACTTGCCACCCTTGTGTCCTGACAGGCTTTGAGTGGCCCCTAAGAGCCAAGAGAGTTTCCCACAAGCAGGGTGGTAGGGCACGTACCCTTCCTCTGTCTCATTGATGATGTCGCAGATCTCCATGTTCAATGTCCAGTCTTCACTCTGCAAGGAGCCGTCTGTTGCTTTTTCTGTGAAATCAGAGAGAAAACTGGTTTGCATTTCTCCTGGAACAAGGGGCCCTGGCAAGAAATGGGAAGTGACCCAAATCACTATATTCTCTGCCCAAACAGATGGGCTGAACCAATAGAGCTGATCTAGGAGTGGTGTTTTCACAAGAGAATAGCCAGGGAAGAGCTGTGGGCCAACATCATATTATGGGCTGTTATTCTCCAATGCCAGACTGTTTCCAGCTTGCCATAGGCTTGAGCCATCACAGCTACAGAACATGTGAGGATGCTAAGTTTATGAGCCCACAGATTATGGACCAAACCACCTGGGTTTGAACCAGGCTCCACCCCTTATAGCTGTGCGGCCTTGGGCAAATTACTTAAATTTCAGGTGCCAAATTGAGTGAAAACTACAGTTAACTACCTTGTAGCATTGTAAGGAACATTAAATGGATTAATATATAAAACATTCAGAATACAGCCTAACATTCAGATGGTCCTCTGAAGATATTTGCTGCTATAATTATTAAAAATCAACTTTAGGGGCTGGGGATTTAGCTCAGTGGTTCCGGTGCCTGCCACACAAGCGCAAGGTCCCGAGTTCAATCCCTGGTACCGAAAAAAAAAAAAAATCAGCTTTAGCCAGGAGTATCAGTGCATACATGTAATCCCAGCTTCTCAGGAAGCCAAGGCATAAGGACTACAAATTTGCAAGCTAGCCAGCTTGAAAAACTTAGTGAGACCCTGTATCAAAAAAAAAAGAAAAAAAGAAAAAAATATTAAGCTGGGCATGGTGCATGCCTGTAATCGCAGCACTGGGGAGAGAGGCAAGAGACTGCTGCGAGTTGAAGGCCAGGCTGTGCTACATAGTGCTACAAGGCTAGCCTGAACTACATAATGAGACCCTGTCTCAAAAAAAAGAATTTTTTTTAAGGGGCTGTGGATATAGCTCAGTGATAAGAGCACCTTTTGGTACAATCCCCCATACCACAAAAAGAAAAATGAACTGCATTAGCCACAAACATCTCAGAAAGAGGAGGAAGAGGGAGCAACATTTAGTGGCAGGCAAGAATTCTACCACTGAAGCACCAATGTCCTGGTGGGACAAACATCATTTAGTAAACTACTCTAGAATGGTGTTCTGATTTGGATCTTAAATGTCCCCCAAAGGCCTATATCCCAAACTCTTGGTTACCAGCCTGTGGTGCTACTGGGAGGTGATGAAACCTTTGGAGGTGGAGCCTCATGGGAGGAAGTGAAGTCATCAGGAGCATGCCCTTGAAGAGAATATTGGGACCCTGACCTCTCCTTTTTCTCTTTGCTTTCTGGCTGCCATGAGGTGGGCACCTTTGCTCTATCTCATGCTTCCCACCAATAGAGCCAAATGACCATAGCCTGGAGTCTCTGCAACTATGAGCCCAAATAAGCATTTCCTCCTTATAAGTTGTTTATCTCAGGTATTTGTCATAGTGGTAGAAAGCTAACACACATGGTGTTGGGTGCTTCATGTACATTGTTTTACACTCACAAAACAACCTTCTGACTATTCAATGGGGAAAGGACAATCCCTTCAACAAATTGTGCTGAAAAAGTTGGCTCACTATATGCAAAAGAATGAGGTTGGACCCTTATCTTATACCATATACAAAAATTGACTCCAAAAGACACAAACTTTAAGAGCAAAAACTATAAAACTCTTAGAAAAAAACTTAGGGAGAAAACTTCATGGCATTGGACTTGACAATGTTTCATAGATACAACAACAAAGGCACAGACCACAAAAAATAGAGAAACTGAACTACATCTGAATTTAAAACTTTTGTACATTAAAGGACTCAAAAAGCAGAGTGAAAATATAACCTACAAAATGGAGAAAATCTTCTAAGTCTTACATATGATAAAAAGTAAATATTCAGAATAATATAAAACCACACTCCCAACAACAAAAAGCTACCTAATTAAAAAATGGAGAGGGCCAGGGATTTAGCTCAGTGGTTATGCCACCTGCCTCGCAAGCGCAAGGACCCAAGTTCGATCCCTGGTACCAAAAAAAAAAAAGGAGAAAGGACCTGAACAGACATTTCTTCAAAGACAAAACACAAATGGCCAATAAATATATGAAAAGATATTTCAATAGCATTAAGCATCAGGGAAATGCAAACCAAACACAATGAATATCATCTCATACTCATTAAGAGGGCTATTATTATAAAAACACAAAATAATAAGTGTTAGCTAGCCATGGTAGCACATGCCTGTTTTCCATCACTCTGGGAGGCTGAGGTAAGAGGACTACAAGTTCAGGCCCAGCCTGGGTAACTCAGCAATTTAGTGGGACCCTATCTCAAAATAAAAAATAAAATAAAAAGGGCTATGGATGTAGCTCAGTGTGAAGGCCCTGGTCCCCAGTACCATAAACAATAAATGATAGTGAAGATTTGAAGAAAGGAAATCTTCTGCACTATTATTGGGAATGTAAAAAAGTGTAGCCCTACAGAAAATAGTATAATGGGCCTTCAGAAAAATTAAAATCTGGATCTCAATGAAATATTCGCATACCCATTGTCAGTGTGGTTGGATGACATTTATTTCCTCTGCAACAACTTGGTACCAGGGTACAAGTATCAGAACATCTAGGCTGGATTGTTACAGCCCAGGCTGGACTGTATTGTGACTGCCTGCCTGTCTGCCTCACAGACTCCTGAAGTAGGGTCCCAACCTCTTCCTAGCTGTGAGGATGCTGGATGTTACATCATGAGCACCTAGTCTGGGGGCTAGTCAGATGGTACTTCATGAGCCTTCTTCCAGCCCTGTTATCTTCCTTTTAAGGGGGATGAGGATGGGTGGGGCAGTTGGATAAAAGGATGTCCTATAAAGCAAGGGTAAGAAATTCATTCTCTTGTCTCTCCAGTGGAAGCGGGAGCATCTGCAATTAACATTCACAAAGTGTTGTTAGGAATCTGAAGCAAGAGGCAATGGCTCTGTGTAGAATGATGGAATTGATTTTTCTTTCCACCTTTTTCTTTGTAGAGGCCAATGTGCCTCACTAGCAGGTAATAATCCAGAAAGTTCATTTCATATTATCAGCTCATTTTCCCATGAGCTTCCTACTTATAAAATCCCTTTTCCACCCCTGGCATGGAGCATCCCGTAATGCCATGCATTTGTGCTGGTGCCTCTGGGCTCCTACCCATACGTGATTGTTAGGGAGGTGGATAACTGGGCTGTTTTCTTCTCCAATCTCACCAAAAAAGGATGTCTGCTGAATGCAAAATGCTTAAAACCAGCCCTATTTTGCTTTCTGGTGCTGGCTGCTTCTGAAGTCACTATACTTAACATCAAAGTGTAGAAGGCAGTGGCCAAGAAACCAAGCGACTGCACTGTGAGGCTCCTCCCTCCAGGACTGCCTTAGGTTTCAGATTGCATGGGAGGGGCGCCTGGGCAAAACTATGCTGCGGAGAATACTATAAGAGAGTACTACCACTGTTGTCAGAGTCAAGACTTCAGGGCATTCTGACCCTTGTCTTGTACCAGGCAGGAAGTGGCCTTTTCTGAATAGAGAAAATGCCATGGCAACCACATCAGGATATGCTACCCTTGCACTAAAGGTTTAATGGGTGCTATACCTGAATGCACCTGCCCTGACTAGCTCAGCCCAGTTCTGGCTATTAGCACATTACCAAAGGCCCCAGCATTTTGCAACCAGGGTCATTGGTGTCTTTATCTTTATCCATCCCAGAGAACTAGCTGGTGGGAATGACCTGCTCCACTGCTCCCTTGAAAACTGTGTTTCTGTTATTGTACCAGGTTTTATTTTAGAATTTGACAATTTATGTGATAAAAGAAATGAGATTGAACTTTGCACTCCTCTGGCCTGGGGACCAGAGCATGTGAAGGAGCCCACAGCGAGTGGCCTCAGTTCCAGGGGCAATCAGATACAACCTTGTTCCCATTTGCTGGAAATTCTTTTATGAAAAGAAAAATAAGAATTGATTTGCACTGCTCTGCCAGCCCTTCTTCCCTCGTCTATCTCGGCACAGGCCAATATCCACAGTTCTGTTTGTGTGGCATTTCCAGCAAAATGAAAAGAAAGAAGTGTTCTTTTTGGGTTGGTTCCTTATAATCAAAATGAATATACGTCTTTTAGCTTGAAAACTCAGAACCCCAGTAATTGAATAGAACGTACTGATCCTGAGGATAAGTTATCATGCCTTTGAACCCCTTGCTGGTATTATTAGAGGAAGGGAGAGGGTGAATATAAGGTTAATGGATTCTGCTGCTAAACTGAACTTGGAAATGAGGTTTCATTGATTTAATATTTCCTCTATTAAGCCTCCCAAGACTGTGTCCCTTGGGGTCCTACCAAAGAGCAATCTTGGTATGTTACAGCCTGAATTCTGTGAAGGAGATGATGACTAGCACTTGACGGCCCCTGACCACCTAGCCTCTCCCCTTGCTGGCCTGGAAGGGTCACAAGAGCAGGCCAGCAGGCAGGGCTCTGGTCTCAGGATAAGCCTCCTCCTGAGAAGGCTGCTGGGGTGATAACAGCAGACATACCCTTTACTGTGTGTGACCTGGCTAGTGAATCACCTCTTCTGAGAGGGGACACTTTTGAAGGGAGGGCTGTTCAGAGACAGCCAGGTGTGGCAGGAAGAGCAGGGGCTGAAGGTACAAGTCATTTCATGCTGAGACCTCCGCACTGATGGGGCTCATCCTGCCTCTGGACAAAACCCCGCAGCCACAGAGCACTCTCTTGTTCTAGGGGCTACCCAGGGCCTGCCCCTCAGCCTTCCAGGAACCTCTGCTCTCAAATCTTTTCTTTTGTACTCAAAACTGGTGCCTGCCCCTTCCCCTACTCTTTTCAGCTTTGTCTTTTACTGGCTACCCTCACCTGTGGGTCTGATTTCCCTAGAGGCCCAGGTCTGCTGTTTCCTGACCCTGTAACTTGGGTAGGGCAGGGTGTCCCTAAGACATCTGGGGCCCATCTGGCTCTTAAAGGTTGCTGAAGTGCTCTCTCTGCC